ATGCCACAGCACTCTACCCAGAGGGACAGCTTGAGGCTCTGTCTCAAAAAAAAAAAAAAAATAACAAAATTCCTGTCACTCTTCGTAAAACAAAAATGATCACATTGATTAGCTCCACTGTTTGTTTCTTGGCTTATAGTACCTGTCCAAAACATCACAAATGAAGGTCATCATTGCTCATGGAGAAGAATGACTCTCTTCTGAATAGGCATGGTGGCTCACAACTGTAATCCTAGCACTTTGCAGGTTTTTTTATTTTTTGGCCAGAGCTGGGTTTGAACCCGCCATGTCTGGCATATGGGGTCAGTGCCCTATTCCTTTGAGCCACAGGCACTGCCCAATCCCAGTACTTTGGGAAGATCCCTTGAAGCCAGTAGTTTTAGACAAGACTAGGCAACACGGTGAGACTCCATCTCTTCAACAAACAAAAAATCAGCAGCACGTTTGTAGTCCTAGCTACTTGGGAGGCTAAGACAGCAGAATTGCTTCAGCGCATTGTTTGAGATTGCAGTGCGCTATGACCACATCACTGCACTCCGGCCTGGGTGACAGAGCAAGATCCTGTCGAGAGAAAGACAGAGAGAGAGAGAGAGAGAGAGAGAGAATGACTCTTTGTTATTGTTTGTTGTTTGTGACAGAATCTCAAGCTGTCCCCCTGGGTAGAGTGCCATGGCACCACAGTTTACAGCAACCTCACACCCTTGGGCTTAGGTGATTTTCCTGTTTCAGTCTTCCAAGTAGCTGGGACCATGAGCACCCACCACAATGGCTGACTAATTGTCATCGTCATTGTTGTTTTAGTAGGCCTGGGCTGGGTTCAAACCACCAGCCTCAGTGTATGTGGCTGGCACCTACCCACTGAGCTCCAGGTGCTGCCAAGAATGACTCTTTGGTTTTTTGTCTATTTGTTTGACACAGAGTCTTGCTCTGTATTCTAGGCCAGAGTCCAGAGGCATGATTATGCCTCAAACTCCAGGCTCAAGCAATCCTCCTGCCTCAACCTCCCAAGTAATTGGGACTACAGATGTGCTGCTGAGTTTTTGCTTGTTGTAGAGATGAGAGTCTTGCTCTTGCTCAGACTGGCCTCAAACTTGTGGCCTCAAGTGATTCTCCATCCTCAGCATTCCACAGTGCTAGGATTATAGGCATAAGCCACGGCACCCAACCACATTTCTAGTAGTTTTGATTCTTTCATGAAGACTGAAGAAACTTTACGTTCCTCTTAATATGGGAGAAAAGTTTTTCTATTTATTCAAACTAATATTAATAAACTATAAGATAGCATTACCTTACAGTACACTTGTACCTTCCTTTTCTTTCAGTGTTTTTTGCATTTGACAAAGACAATGATAACTACATAAATGTTAAAGAGTGGGTTAAAGGATTATCAGTGTTTCTTCGGGGGACTTTTGAAGAAAAGCTGAAGTGTAAGATTTCTATATGTGATTACTGGCTTAGTAGTATATATTGGTAATTTTTTATTTAGTGACTGTTTAAATATATTTAAAAATATAAAATCAGTGCAAAAATAGTGCACGGCAGCTTTAAAAAAAGCCAACAGGTGAAATAAGTCAAAGGATTAAAATAAAAGAGGACTCCTCAGCCCCAGGGGTCTCCAATACTCCCTTCGCTGATTCTGTAATGCACAGTGTTACCAGGATGGGTCTTTGGCTTAAGTCTCAGGCTAAGAACAGCAGCTAAGAGCCAGGGCTTGTGCTAACTCTGATCACCTGGCAAGGCTGAGCTTTCTCAGGCTGCCTCCGGGCAGAGCAGGAAACGGGCCTCAAGATGGGCCAGTGCATGTGTTACACAGGGGCCATTCCTTGTCTTTTCATCAAAGAAAATGTGAGGGGTTGATACATGACAAGATAAAACATGCATTAACCATCCGATATTCATACTTGAGTGCTGGAGTTGGGTTAGGTGACTGACAGAAGAGGGAAGTGAAGAGAGGGGAGAAAGCTGGTGACAAGACAAGCCCAAAGGGAGGACGATGTTCGGTGGTGCTTCCTACAGAAAAAGGAAGGTTAGGAATTCCAAAGACAGTAATCTTCAATTTACAATTGAGCGTAGAGTTTGCTCTGACTTGTACCACTGGGGTAATGTTCGTTTCCTATGCTTTACCCCTCTGGTGTCAGGAGTTTGGATGAGCAACTCTGGAAAGAGAATAGGTACAATTTATTTATTTGTTTGTTTCTGTAAAATATACATATGTAATTTGCATCTTTACCATTTTTCAGTGTACAGTTAAGTGGTAATAGATACATTTATATTCTTCTCCCCCTTCATTTCCTCTTCCCCACTCCCCTTCCTTACCTCTGATAACCACCATCCTACTCTTTGTCTTCATGACATCTACTTTTTCTTTTTCTTTTCTTTTTTTTTTTAGAGACAGAATCTTTATCACCCTCGGTAGAGTGCCATGGCATCACAGGTCACAGCAACCTCCAACTCCTGGGCTTAGGTGATTCTCTTGCCTCAGCCTCCCCCGTAGCTGGGACTACAGGCACCCACTACAACACCCAGCTATTTTTATTTTTGTTGTTGTTGCAGTTTGGTGGGGGCTGGGTTCAAACCCGCCACCCTCAGTATATGGGGCCGGCACCCTACCCACTGAGCCACAGGCGCCACCCAATATCTACTTTTTCAACTCCCACAAATGAGTGAGAGCATATGATATTTGTCCTTCTATGCCAAGATTATTTCACTTAACATATGGCCTCCAGGCTTGGAGCCCATAGCACAGTGGTTACAGTGCCAACCACATACACCAATGGTGGCAGGTTTAAACCTAGCCTGGGCCAGCTAAACAAAGACAACTGCAACTAAAAATAGCTGAGCCAGTGGCACCTGTGGTTCAGTGAGTAGGTCGCCGGCCCCATATACCAAGGGTGGCAGGTTCAAACCTGGTCCTGGCCTAACTGCAACAAAAAAATAGCCAGGCATTGTGGCTGTTACTGTTACTGTTACTCAGTTCCAGTTACTCGGGAGGCTGAGGCAAAGAATCCCCTAAGCCCAGGAGTTGGAGGTTGCTGTGAGCTGTGATGCCACAGCTCTCTACCAAGGGCAATAAAGTGAGACTCTATCTCTACTTAAAAATAAATTTAAAAAAATAACCAGGCCATTGTGGTGGGTGCCTGGAGTCCCAGCTACTTGGGAGGCTGAGCAAGAGAATCGCTTAAGCCCAAGAGTTTGAGGTTGCTGTGAGCTGTATCGCCACAGCACTCTGCCAAGGGCAACATAGTGAGACTCCGTCCCAAAAAAACTCCCCCAAAACAAAACAACATATGACCTCCAGCTCTGTGCATGTTGCTACAAATGACAGGATTTCATTCTTTTTGTGGGTGTATAATATTCTACCATATATTTATATATCTCTTTTTTTTTCATCTGTTGATGAGCACTTAGAATAATTCCATATTTTGTCTATTATGAGTAGTGCTATAATAAATCTAGGGATGTAGGTATACCTTTGATACATTGATTTCCTTTCTTTCAGATATATACTCAATAGTAGAACTGCTGGATAATGTACTAGTCCTATTTTTAGTTTTTTGAGAACCTTCAAGGAATCATTTTAGTAGCAATTTCCAAGGGAACAAAGTGCTTAAAATGTGTAATTGCTTAAGTTATGTGTGTGTGAGCAAATTTTTATCCCTTCTTGTTCTTCCGCTTGAATTTGAATTTGGGGCATTGCAAAGAAATTCCTTAAAAATACATTTTAAAAATTGTAGCAGCATTTTTTCAATTACAAAATTTCTTTGAAACTTAAAATTTGTTTCCTTCAGTCTAATTTTTTGTGAAATAACATTTAAATATAGTTTCCACTTAAATTTGCTCCAATGTTCTTATATAAAAGTCTCACAGAGAAGTGAAAAGCTAAGTTTCATGAATGTAAATTCTTGTGATAATAGTAATAATTCTTGTGACAAATTGTCTTCCAACCCTTAACTTGTCTTTTGAGGCTAGGTGTGTTTCCTGCAAACAGCAAATAGATGGCTTGTGTTTTTTTAATCTAATCAACCAATCTGTGCCTCTTCAGTGGGAAATTCAAGCCATTAACATTTATTGAGATAATTGATAAGTGTGATAGTGTTCTATTCATCTTATTTTGTGGAAGTCCATTACTTAGTTTTGCCTTTTGCATCATTGTGGAAGCTAGTTTCCGTCCTTTAATTTCTGAGTTCTTACTTTGCTGGTGGTCCATTGTGATGGTCAGTGTGTAGAACAGGTATTTCCTGTAGAGCTGGTCTTGTTCTGACAAATTTCCTCAGTGTTTGCATCTCAGTAAAAGATTTGATTTCTCCATCAATTTAAAAGCTTAGTTTAGTGGGATATAGAATTCTGGGCTGAAAATTGTTCTGGTTAAGTACAATTAAGTAGATTAAAGGTAGATGACCATCGTTTTCCGGCTTGAGAAGTTTCATTAGAGAAGTCTGCGGTCACCTTGATGGATTTGCCCCTGTAGGTCAATTGGTGCTTACTCCTGGCAGCTTGGAAAATCTTTTCTTTTGTCTTGACTTTGGACAGGTTCATCACAATGTGTCTTGGAGAAGCTCTGTGTGAGTTGAGGTGACCTGGGGTCCCATATCTCTCTGAAAGGAGTGTGTTGGAATCTTTGGTGATATTTGGGAAATTTTCATTTATAATGTTCTCTAGTATGGCTTCCATTCCTCTGGGGCATTCTTCTTCCCCTTCTGGGATACTTATAACTCATATGTTTGAATACTTCATAAAGTCCCATAATTCTGTCAGTGAACGTTCTGCTTTCTCTCTCTTCTTTTCTGCCTCTTAAACTATCAGAGATATCTCAAGAGCTGTGTCCTCTACCTCTGAGATTCTTTCTTCTGCAAGGTGTAATCTGTTGTTGATACTTTCTATGGCATCTTTAAGTTCCCTAATTGCTTCAGTTCCTTCAGCTCTGCTATATCCTTTCTATATTCTTCATATCGTTCATCTCTTATTTGATTCTGTTTTTGGATTTCCTTTTGGTTATTTTCCACTTTATCAGCAATTTGCTTCATTGTTTCCTTCATTGTTTTCGTCATCTGTATTTTAAATTCCCCTTCTCTCATTTCTAACATTTCTTTATAGGTGGAATCCTCTGCAGTAGCTACCTCATGGTCCCTGGGGGGTTGCTCTGGACTGGTTTTTCATGTTGCCAGGCTTTTTCTGCTGATTCTTCCTCATGAGTGTTTTCTTTTACCTGTTTCCTTGCCCTAATTTTTCTTTCACTTCCTCTTGCTCTTTAAGTTACTGTGCCTCTGGCCTAAGGTTTTGATGAGTCCAGTTCTCCACTGCTTTTTTCCTCCTTGTGGGGGTCCGGAAGTCTCTCACTGACTCCCTGTGTCCCCAAAGGGATGTTTCTGGGCAGATCCCACCAGCCAGAGATGGCTGGAGTCTTCTCACCCTAATCTGTGATATCCAATTTCAGAAGATGAGATCTTTTATCTGTTGCTTCCTGAGCCAATTTCTATTCTGTGGCTTGAATTGAAACCAGCATCTGGAATCTCTTAATCTGTTACTGCCTCTGGCTTCCTGCATATTTCAACTTTACATGGTATATTATTCTTTTTTTGCTTCAGAAACAAGGATTTTAGTCAGTAATACAAATGGCCAATTGGGAAGAGACCAAACACAGATGCTAAGCTCTTCTAGCAGGGCCAGGCAAATGGAATCCAGAAGAAAGGAGGGATTGCAATCTTATTTTCAGATACATGTGGATTTAAAGCAACTAAAGTCAAAAAAGATAAAGATGGTCACTTCTTATTGGTTAAGGGAAAAATAAAACAAGAAGACATTTCCATTCTAAATATTTATGCACCCAACTTAAACACTCCCAGATTCTTGAAACAGACCTTAATTAGTCTGAGCAATATGACATCCTATAACACCATAATAACAGGGGACTTTAACATTCCTCTCACAGAGCTGGACACATCCTCTAAATAGAAATTAAACAAAGATATAAGGGTCTTAAATGAGACCCTAGAACAACTGCACCTGATAGATATATATAGAACTCTCCACCTCAAAGATAAAAGAATATACATTGTTCTCATCACCCCATGGAACATTCTCCAAAATTGATCATATGCTAGGACACAAAACAAACTTCAACAGAATCAAAAGAATTAAAATTTTACCTTGTATCTTCTCAGACCACAAGGCACTAAAGGTGGAACTCAACTCCAAAAATATGTTCAACCCCACACAAAGGCATGGAAAATAAACAACCTTATGCTGAATGACAGTTAGGTGCAATAAGAAATAAAAAAGGAAATCACTAACTTCCTTGAGCATAACAACAATGAAGACACAAGCTACCCAAACCTGTGAGATACAGCAAAAGCAGTCCTGAGAGGAAAATTGATCACTTTAGATGCCTACATTCTATGCTTTACATGCCAACAGAAAAAGAGCACAT